GAGGACTGTGAACAAACAACGCATTAGAGACAATCAACGTCGTCAAAATGAAACCTAAAGCATAGCTCGGATGGAGAGATGGACACATGCACATGCACTCCGAGAAATAACAGAACAAACAAACCTGACGCAACAACGCAAAACATTCGATCAATAAAACAACATCCAAAATACTGTTGACTCGTATGCAATAATGCATCAGCAGCTGTTGGGCTCCATCAAGGGCTGGGCCCCCGTCGCTGATTCTGTTTGTGATTTTTATGACTGGGATCCTAAGGCTCAGCCAGCTTTTGGGACCTCAGGATTGCTGCTCTGGTGTTTGCAGACGATGCGGTTGTGCTAGCTTCGTCAGATCACGACACACTGAGGTGATTTGCAGTCAAATGTAAAGATGTTGGAACACTTCTAAGTGTAAGGACGTGGTTCTTGGCTTTAATGACTAATGCTATGGTGGATCGCTCCCTCTGGGTCGGATTAAGCTGCTAACCTAAATGAACGCTATTGTTCATGAGTGAGGTTCAAATAGAGCGTAATACTGACAGACAAATTGTTGGTGTGGCATCAGAAGCACAGTAGGTGTTGAAAATAGGGAGAGCCAAAAGTCCAAACTTGTGATTTAAAACTCAACCTATGCTCCAGTCATGAGCTTCGGAAAGAAACTGAAAGAATGAGATTGTAAACACAAGTAGCCAAAATATGCAGGGCTCTGCAGGGTGGCTTGGCTCTGAAACCTTTCTGAAAGGAGCCCAGACATTTGGAGGGAGTACAGATTTGCGCCAAGTCCCTTTCACACTGAGTTTGTTGCTCTAGAGGAACATAAGGGAAGAAGAAGGTGCATAATCCCAATCAGCCACATCATTAAAACCACCTGGCGATTATTGTATAGGTCTCCTTCATGCTTACAAAAACAGCTCTGATCTACTGGGGGCATGGACACGGGTTCTCTGGAGGGATCCTGTGGTGTCAGGTACTGGGATGTTGGCAGTGGATCCTTCAGTTCATGTGGGGCTGGGCCTCTGCGGATCAGGATTGTTCAGGTGTATCCCACAGATGCTTGATTGGATTGGGATCTGGGGAGGCAAATTCAGTACCTTGGGGTCTTACTCATGTTGAGCAATGTCTTGAGTCATTTTTGCCGTGTGGTGGGCACACTGTCCTGCTGGGGAGGCAGCTGCCACGAGGGAGCGTTTGATGTTTAGGTTGGTGGTATATGTCAAAGTAACATCCACATGAATGGCAGGACCCAAGGCTTCCCAGCAGGACATTTCATTGTCCCAAGATAATCAATGATACACACGTCCTCTGTCCGTGGTTTTAATGTTGTGGCTGATCGCTGTATATCTCTGCTGTAAAACTTTGCTAGGGGAAAGGCACCGACTTGCTTAACCTGATGCAACCCGTCTCCGGATTAGCGGCAGACAATGGATGGACGGAGACACTGTGATGTACACGACCACAAACACAGTCACACTGGTCACACTCACACAGAGCAAAAGATGATGGATTTTGTTTACCACACAGAAAACAAACATCATTAAAATTATTATTGAATCATTTTGGAACGCTGGATTTGTGTGTGTTTACGCAGGAGGTCAAACAAAAAAAAAAAACCCAAACTTTCTCTGTCTCGACTCTCTCCTGGAGGAAGAGAGCACGGAAATGGAAACGGCTTCAAAGAAAGAAGACAAAGAACGATAAAACATATTGTAATACTTAGATGTCCATAATAACGCATGCAAAAAACATTATTCACATATTCATGGCTGTGTGTGTGTGTGTGTGTGTGTTTGTGGCTGTGGGCTCCTGTCCTTCCCACAGTTCATCAACTCCACAGCATGACAACTCTTCATCCGACCGAAGCTTCATCTGCCAGCGCTAATTTCTGAGCTATGAAAAACTCAAACACACACTCGCTGGCATGCATATGTGAATAATGTGTTTTTACTGTGTTCTGCGTTTATTCACTTAAGCTCTGCGCGAGTGATACACAAAGCCTCCAAACTTCTCTGTAACACCATACCAACTCAGGGACCAGCTTTCATGTCTTGCACGTGTACAGGTGATGGTGAGCCACTGAGCAAGGCACTAGACTAATACTGGCTGCAGTCGTGCCTCTTCCATCGGCTGATACAATTCTGCCATTCAGAACATGCGAGCTTCAATAGATGTGCTGCAGTGTGAATTTTTTTATTTTACTCAGATTCAGTATCTTTGGTTGGAAATTGTAATAGTCTGTATGCATTTAGGTTCATGTTTGAGGAATTAAAATGCACGACTTTAAGTTAAGTTCACAGATTTTAAAGGAATTATAAAGAAAAAATTACAGTATATAGAGGTTGATGTAGATACAGTTTATTTTACAGTTATGTAGTGAGCTCATTGCGTTGCTTCCTGCATCTAAAAGGTTGTGTGGATATTTTAAAATGCATAAAATTGAATTTATATTACTTTTTTTATTATGTGGGAATTGGTGGCTATGGTTGTTGCTACCCAGTTATAGTGCACTTAGATAATGGAGGGTTTTTTTTCCACCAGTACTTTCACTTTGTTAATTCTAAATAGGATAATAATTTTTTATCAAGTATTTTTGTTTGTGTGTTGAAGTAAGCAGTTCAACTTTAAATAGTGGTCCTGTGGATTTTTTGATGTGGATTAGGATGAGAGGAATCCACAGCAGCTTCGGTTACTGAAAAACTTCATATTCGGTCTCCTGAAATTAGATATAATGCACGCAGAAATTAGATGACACCCCGTGCATGGACTCTGTCAATGCTCGGAGGAGATGCCACTGAAGCTGCAAGGGTAGAATAACCTGAACTAACTTGAAATATGTGAATTACGAGCTAAACAATAAACAATAAGGTGCAGCCAGATGAGCATCATTCGTAAGGATAGGGCAAAGAATTGACAGTGAATACAACAATATTTAGAATATACAGTGAGGCAAAGTTGACGGTGTTGCATGTTGCTCACTGCTTTTACAGCCTCCACTGTGAGAGATATATGTACCACGATACATTCACAGAAGCTGTTTGCAGATTGTGAGTTGGCAGATATATTCATGTAATTGTTGCTCTTCTGCAGCATCGAGGGAAAAGTCTTCATGGTGTTTCGTAGCTTTTTGTGCAACTGTAGTCAAACGTTGAAATATTGTTTGGGAAACTGACAGAAATATTTGCCTTTACAGTTTCAACTGTAGTGATTCTGAAAGAAGGAAACTCATTTCATTTGCACTTTTCTCTTCCATAATAGAGGAGCACCCAGACTGACTAATGCGTGTTTGTACAGTGCACAAAAATACATTAGTCAGTCTATACGATGTGTCCATATCGTTACACCACACACCACAAGCTTTTTCTTCTGCTAACTAGGCAATCACCGCCATGTTTTTTTTTTAAACCCAAAATCTAACTCTGTCTTCTTTAACTGCTACTGCACACACACACACACACACACAGAGCGACCACACTTTGACAAACACATAGCACATAAACCATTAAAGACTAATTGAATCTAATTTATTTAGTTTTCTGGAAAGAATCATTTAAGGCAGAACTTCCCTAAGCCCCCTCGATAAATGACTCTCATACCGTTTTACTCTCTTTTCAAACACAATTAAAAAATAATATATAAATATATACACACTGCAAATGACATGCATATAAGGAGTTCATTTTGGAGCCCGATCTCAGGTCATTAGTAACCCACCATGACGCTGTGGAGTTGGGGTCCGCTGGCGACACACAGGCCCCTGGCCATTTATTCTATATTAAGTCTTTAATGGGCCCTCTCTCACTCTCCCTCTCGCTCTATGTCTCTTCCTCTCTCTCTCTCTCCCTCCTGACACTCAGCATGTAGGCACAGCGCTGGTAAAATATGCACAGAAAGTCCGGTGCGCACACACACAGACAAAGCCATTCAAATGAATGGTTATTTATTCGCTAAACGAGGATCTGGGTGTTTAATGTTCCTTGGACGTTAGGTAGTTTTCTGGGGGAGGCAGAGCCATACCCCTACGGCTACAGACATCATTTATTTTACACATAGCCTAATACCGCACGCTAGGCAGCCGCTGAGAAAAATGGGCTTTGGAAGTGAGAAGGAGATATAAAAGAAATAATGAATGATTTTTTTTTTTTTTATTTTGGGAGGGGGGTGGTGGTGGTTTTGGGTGTGGGGGGGAGTGAACACATTAGAGGTTGCAGCAGGGAGAAAAGCAAGGGGTAGACTTAAAGGCTTAAAGCACCCTGCGAGAGAGTGTGTGTGATTGCAAATGCGAAGAGGAAGATGGAGAGTGACAGAGACAGAAAGAGAAGTCAACACTAACATTAGACAAATGTGTGTTTCAGTGTGTGTGTGTGTGTGTTGGATTTTTGGGATATCAGTGGGGAGGACGGTGATACATGATTGTGCGCGAGGCTTTCGGGCCTCCATCTACATCTCATCCAAATGCAGAACATCAGAGGGGCTCCTCTAGCACACTGCAGCACCTCCACAGATTGTCACAGCACAGGTGATATATATCCAAAACATCAAAGCCATCAAAAGTAACTTTTTAAAAACATTAAACATTATTTTTATTCCATTCTTCAATTTCGTCTCTTCTGTCGGTCGTTAAAAGACTGTTTGAATTAACACGAGCTTCTCTGGAAACACCGAGCCTAGAGAAGTGGACAGCGTTAAATCCCAGTTTAATCAGCATGATATATTAAAAAGAAACAGTCAGGCTAATGGGGCTATTAACTGAAGTAATAAGTGTATTAATTAGCCTATTTTTCATTGTCAGTACACTTATCTTTTCATATCACACATGTAGAATAAACTGTGGATTCCTAAGCTTTAATAATCCACACATTTACACCATCCAATTTTCGCTCTATACACTAGATAAAAAAGAAATCTAATAAAACTTTAAAAGGTTTCCGTGTAACTGTGGGATAAACTCGACACAGCTGATACGTATTGACCGCAGTTGAGATAAAAAAACAAAACAAACCTACCTCCTTATCTGTGGTCAGTGAAGTGAGCGCTACGGTCATCTCTCCATCAGAAAACTCCTTCAGCTCCACGGTCAGCAGCTGCATCAAGTCTACATCCAGTCAGCACACACAAACAGACTAACAGTTATATGAAACACACACAAAATGATAAAAAAACAAAACAAAGAAAAAACGATTTCACAACAGACAGAACAAAAACACACAAGCATGAATGCCCTCTCCAGAGGTGAGAGGTAACTGAAAGGACTCTGCACCAAAGGGGGCTAAAACAGAACTGGTATCGACCTGCTAATAGTGTCAAAAGCAGAAAGTTTAATCAATGGTGGTAAATATTTCTGCTTTTAAAGCCTCTACGGACCCTTGATGTCTAATTAGATCTTTAGTTAACGTTGCATAGGCACACATAGGCTGTGCTGGCTCTTCTGTGAGCTCTGCAGCACCCGTTGGCTACTTCCACTGTTTTTATTATTCTGACTTTATAGAGTTTGGTGACATTATAGAATCCCCAGCACAGCTCCAGTTTCAACCTGACAAGAGATTTAATTAGCCAGAGTGACTGCGCTGCTCCTTTCTCGGGGCTCCGCCACATTCTGTAAATGGACACATTCCTGCTATGTCATTGCAAGGTTAATCAATAATCCAAATGATGGCCGCATTCCATTTAGGTGTGCCAATTCAGGAACCAAAGTTCACACTTGTAAATGGGGCCGTATGTATGATTAAATTCAATATAGAAGGAACACACAAGCTATTTCTTAGACGGGGATTAATCGCTTTTTAATGTTTATGTCCGGTAACAGCTACAGTCGTCCTCAAATGTATTCATATCCTTCCATTAAAGAAAAGGAAAAATTCACAAAAGTCCCTCAAATAACTGGAAACTGAAAAAAGTAATAATAAATAAAAATTTGCGAAATTATAATTTAATGAAATAAGACATTGCCTTTGAATTGTGGTTGAAAAGAATAATTTAAAAAAAAAATAAAACAAAACTGTCCTGGACAAATTATTGCACTGCTGATGAGCAGCTGGCCAAAAATCAAAATACCTGTCAACAGGTGCAGAAGTCTGACGGAGAGTTACAGAAAACACTCGATTGCAGTGATTGGCTCAAAGGGACAACTTGGTCTGCTGTATGCAGCTTCTGAGCTGTTGTTTCATTGATCAAGTGAATTTTTCTTTGCCCTCATTTGTTTCCAGGCTGTAAAAACGTCTGCAGTTCACCTGAAAACTCTCTACTGGTCACAGCTGAGTCAGTTATAGCTTCTCAGCTGCTTTAGGATGCATTGAATTTTCTGATTTGTACAGGATCTGTTTGGTGCAAATAGCCACGATTAGTTCAAGGGATGGTGAAAATCCAGCAATTTGTTCTGTTTTTACAGTTTCTGGCTCTGATCAACGGAACAACTTTGGTGATTATAACACACATCTTAAAGCCACTGAGGACCTTAGGGGTTAAGACGGTTAAAACCCAACTCCTCTACATGTTCAAACAAGCACCTTGTAGCTTTTCTTCATCGTGCTGACCAGCGGTGACATCACTCCATTGCTCCAAAGATCTCACGATCTCCTCCAGCTGTGCTGACTGGCGGCCATGTTTGATCCACACAGCATCTCGTTGGAGTCTCAAGGCCTCTGTAGACACAGAAAAGTAGGACAGTGCATGTTAGTTCAACGTAAGCTCGCTAAGAAACACAACATGCCAATTTTTAAAGGGTCATCAATGGATTTCTGATTTTCACAACCTAGGCTGACTTTCTCATGAACAACAACACAGTCTGGTCTCAAGCCAGGAAGAACCATTTACACTGAGCAGCTTCTTGTCTCATGATATCGCTCGTCAGATGTTTTCCTTATGTTGCCTTTAAATTTAAATACATTTCCCACCACCTTCCAACGTGACCCTGAGGACCCCTCAGCTGTGGCTCTGGGAGGAGAAGGTCCGTCGGATCAGACAAGGTTCTCCTCGTGGTCACTTTCCAAACTGGAGGCTTCTGTCAGTTATCGGTAAATGTGGCTTTAAATTTAAATACATTTCAGCCTCCTGTAAGCTGCCTCACTGATGCATCACTGAAAATCCCTGACTGCCAATACTGATCAATGAAGGTCAGTAAATTTACACTTGGGTCTCCTTTGGTCACACTTGTAATTATAACAGTTAATCAACACAAGGTTGTGCGTCTGTTGTAGACGACACACTGTTTGTACACAGTGCCATCACGACAGGAACAGAGTTTTTAGTAATTCATGCACTTCCAATAAAAGGACAAGAATAACATTTACGGGTATGATTTTGTGAGTTTTTTTGTTTTTGTGGGGACAAATACATCCTTTGTGTCACCAAATGTTTCCTACTTTCACAAAGCTGACACACAAAAATGGCTTAAATAAACAAAATGCACAGCAGAATGCACCATTTTCATGCACATTTGTGTAAAATCTGATGTAAAAGCGGAGCATTTTGTGACCCCTTAGTCAGTAAAAATATTCGCAGACTAAAATCACAGAGCTGATTCCTCCTGCTGACAACAACGTGTCCTCGTGGGACCTCTGTAAATCAAATTTACGGATATCAGTGCATGAGTGGATATCAGTAAATCAATTATGTTAAAAATAGCCATAAATAGCTAATGGCCAGTTCAGGATATAAAATAAAAAAAGGTTCTCGATACCCCGTGTGTAGTGCTTTTCTTTGTGCAGAGCGTGTGCAGTTTAGGAATAGAGTTGAGCGGCTGGTCTGTTCAGGAATCAATGAACCTGAAAATGCACTGTCCAAAGAACTCTCACCAAGAAATATGAGAGGTGGACAACTCACAGTACATTATTCTCCTGCTCTATTCATCTTTCTTTCCCGTCTGTCTCTGTACTTTACTGTGCTCCTTTCACTCCGCTGTTTCTGTCCATCCACCTTAATTCACTTTTACTCAATTCTCTGTCCGTCTATCACGGTGAAAGACGGCAGGGGGAAAAAAGCAGCAGAGCATTATTGAACAGAGATCAGTCTTTTCTACTCCCAAACCTTCACATGGCTGCTTAACACTGACAGCTGGAGTGCCTGTTTGGCTGTTTGACGGACCAAACAAACAACATCACACACACACAAGCAGAATCGCAAGTCATATGTGGTACATTATTCCAGTTCGGCATAAATTACACACGATTCCTTAGAAATATTATTTCACCCAAGCCGAGGTAGATACACAGTGGTGCTACTCGGTGGTTTAACCTCAAACACATATGCTACACAGATTTGCCCATCTATCCTTTACAAGTCTCTCTATTATTAGCTTTCTCTGCCCCCCTTAAAACATTTGCTAAATTCTCTTTGATTTTTTTGTCGTAACTTTTCTGACTTTACTTTACTGGGGAAACACCTGACAAAAGAGAAACAACACACAGACCGAAATTTAAAAAAAAGTCACATTACGGGACTCTGTGTGTCTTTCTGTGCTCGTCCTTGCTCACATTCTCCACCCCTCATCTCTCTGTTCCTTCATCTCTCCTGGTGGGTGTTAAGCGAGTCATGTCAGGGGATTTGTGTGTGTCCTCCTTCATCGCCCCATTACTCCCCCCTGGGGGGGGCGCCGGCGCCTCTCTCACCTCCGAGGATCTCCCCCAGCGCTGCTCTGATGTGCTCTGCTGCCTCTTGAAGAATCTCTCCGGCGACTGTCGTCACCGCGGACAATGCCCCATCATCCCCTGCGCCCTGCTGCCCATCATGATGGACCACTTGCAGGATGCTGGACTCCAAAGTGTGGTACTCAGAGCTGGGGAGGAGAGAGAGAAGACGGGGGTTGAAGGGGGATGTATGGATGGCTGCTGCGAAAGGAGTGATGATTGTGGGGCATTTGCATAAATAGAACTCTCCTTTGGGTCATGAGGGATGAACACATGCAGGCCTGAAATACACACCCAAACAACCTCAAATTCTCATTTTCACATCAACAAACAAGTCTCCTCAGCCAGAACCCACAGTGCCCTTATATGTTTCTGCTTTGTGTGTGTGCTTTAGCATCACCTGTACACACATGAATCAGTGTTGGTCCACTGAAAGATCCTAAGTTTATTACAGCTGCTTTCATTTAAGGTTGTAACGTGTCCCCTGATGTCTCATCTATAAAGAAGTTAAACATTAGCTGAAGTTATCTACACACTGAACTGCGTCTGGCGGTCTGGATGTAATTTGCACGTGCGAGTGTGTTCACCTGTCCAGCAGTCCATCTCTTAGCAGCGTTAGAGACAGATTCCCAGTGTGATAAAGCTTCACAAGGTCCACATCATCCCTCCACAGCAGCAAGCTCTCGCAAATTTTCACCCTCTGCAGATACGTCACCGTCTCCTCGGGCAACACGGTGTCTAATCGCCGACCGCACAGCACCGGCACACACACTCCACCTGACGGTTCCTTCTGCAGCGCACACAGAAACACACAGATGTATTTAGAAATGACTCAGATGTCCTCCCAGGTGTGTTTTATTATTACACAGTATGAATAGATATATCATTTAAACATATTTTTGTAACATACTTACATTGCCTGAGAATGCATCAAATTTTACTACTATTGTGAAAGTACAATGTATACAGGGTAAAAGGTGAATTCAACTGAGCCTTTCAGAGGAACATATTAAAGGTATTTTAACAGTGGACCCTGTTTAACCGTGTTTTTTGGACATTTTCTGCCCTACTGTTAGAATGTATAATTTACCGTGGTAGCACTTTATCTTATGTAAACTGTAATCTGCTTTTTATTTTGTGTATCTCCACAAAAATTAGGGTTTACAGGACAGAAAAAGCCACATGTTCCTGTTTTGAGTGATTTTGTGGGGATGGTGGAGTCCTGTGAAACAAAGCATACCAATGTACATGACACATGAAGACAAATCAAACCAAAATATGGAAGCATGCATTTCTTTGCTGAGTTGATAGATGTACAAGTATACTCAAGCCATGCCATGTGCTTACTAAATATATGCAATATGTGCACAACATGATGTACAATGGAGCAGGACGAGTTAGATGTAGCTGGAAAAGAATCAAATAAATTATGGATGGTGGTGACACATCTCTAGAAGAAAACAGGG